TGTAGCTGATCCCAAAGCCAATTTTAGACAGCAATAAATAGCTCTAGCCACCAAAGATGTCCCCTTAATGAAAAAAAAGCACCATAGTCTAGTTAAAATAGAAACACTGCCATTGGTTTTGTCAATTTACTAGCTACTTTTGTTTTAAGTTTTAAGTAGATTTTAAACACATTTATTGTGCTGAAAAATTTTCTTCCTCAGAAAGAAATAAAGTCTCTGTTCTAGAAACACATACATGAAAATTTTTTAAACAACCAGAGTGGGAGAGAGAGACTAAGGTAAAGGCAATACAATGGAAGATCATGATACTGGTCAGTAGGAAAACTGGGAAAAGCAGAACTTGGAGGGAAATGATGATAGAGGGTGTCCTATGTGCTGGCTGGGACATAGGGTAGTGATAATACCCACTGCAGTCATTCGCCGCATAACGACATTTCGGTCAACAACAGGCCGCGTATACAAGGGTGGTCCCACATAATTATAATGAAGCTGGAAATTCCTACTGTCTAGTGACATCATAACATCCTGGCTCAGTGTTTGTGTTTGTGGTGATGCCAGTGTAAACAAACCTAATGCCCCACCAGTGGAATAAATGTATAGCACATACAATTACAGTAGTCGGCTATGCCATCCACGCTTGTGTAAGTGCACTTTATGAGGCCTGTACACGATGTAATAGCCTAATGATGCATTTCTTGGAAGGGCTCATTACTAAATGTGAATAATGGATTTCTGTTTACAAAGTCCATGAATTAACTCACTCAGAGACAGGAACACTGGGAGGGTTGTGAGGGCTTATGGGTGAGGGAAGGGAAGACCATGAAGGAAGCAGGAGGCAGTTCTGGGTGATGGAAAAGTATAAAGCCTTCACATTCCAGCCATCCAAGATAACCAAGGCTGGTCATAATGTTTGGTCGTGTTTATAAATAGCAGGGAATGATTCAGGTTTTGCATCTCACTCTTATGCTGTTTTGGAGAACCTCTTTAAGAAGAATACAAAATTAAGTTCAAGGTCTTGAAAGAGACCTACACAAGTGAGTTCCTAAGACGTTGTTAGTGCCACAGTAAATCCAGCTCTGGTCATCCTTTATACCTTAAAAACAAACAAAACCGGCACCATAGTATACATACTCTTCTGTAAACTCTTCCCCTCAACCACATATCTTGGGTACCCTTCTCTGTCAATACATGATTTAGCTCATCTTTTAAAATAATTCCGTGATTGTCCCTCATTGATGATATTTAAGTTTTATTGCCACACTTTGATCTTCTCACGGGCGGGGCTTCCCTGAGTTCACTACCATCGTGTCTCTCCTTCAGCTCCCGTGTGCATTGGATCTTGCTAATGACCACCTCATTGCTATCTGACCGCTCACTCAGTGTTTGTTTCCTTAACTTCTTTGCAGGCTTTCCACTAGTCCCTTTTCTGAAAACTCAGTCCTCTCTAGGTTTTTGGGCCACCAGTCTCCTTGAGTGCTTTACATAACAACTCAGCCTGGAATATGGTGAGTCCTAAATAAACATTTGTTAAATTGGTATGCTGTTCTGAGCTGTACAGTCTCCAGGTCTGCCCGTGTAAAAGATGCTGATCTGTACTCTGAAGCTGCCTTTGGCTGGAGTGGTGAGAGAGAGAACAAAACAGCACTCTTCTGTCCTGGAAGCCTGTCCTTCCTCAGTATCTCCTTCCCCCTCCCTCCTCAGTATCTCCTTCCTCTTCCCTATTCAGTATCTCCTTCCCCTTCCCTCCTCAGTATCTCCTTCCCCCTCCCTCCTCAGTATCTCCTTCCCCCTCCCTCCTCAGTATCTCCTTCCCCCTCCCTCCTCAGTATCTCCTTCCCCCTCCCACTTTTTTAGGCCGTCAACACCCCGCCTGGATCTTAGTGAGAGGAGGGAAACCTCACTGAACAGGTTTGGCCAGAACACAAGATGATGTTTCAGGAATATGCTCTAGATTTCAATGCACTTAAAAACAAACAAACAAAAAAACCCACAACTTTTTATTTATTGATGAGAGAGAGAGAGAGCGAGAGAAAGAGAGAGAGAGAGAGAGAGAGAGAGAGAGAGACATGTTGATTTGATTTGTGCAATTCCACTTACTTATGCATTCATTGTTTGCTTCTTATGTGTGCCCTGATTGGGGATCAAACCCACAACCTTGGTTTATCAGGTCAATACTCTAACCAACTAAGCTACACAGCCAGGGCTATTTCAATGCACTTTTAACTTTAGAGGGGAAGTTTCATGAACATTCTTTCCCCAGATCAATGACAGCCAAGTTTAAAAATTAAAACCTGAAAAATAGTGCCAATCGGAACGTCTTGAGCAGTGCATTTAGCTGTTGTGAATCTGAAAAACAAAGAACATTAGAAATGAACAAAAATTTCACAAGGAGTGCAGCACTCTAGAAATAAATTTCACCTTACATTTTATATGATAAAGGGGACCAGGAATATATCCACTTTAGCTGGGACAAAGGCATAAGTAATTCATTTGTGAGTAGAGACATTCTCTAGAAATAATAAACAGACCAATAACATCAGTGAAAGAAAGAAAGGCGTCTATCGTCCCAGAATAGTGGATAGAGTTTTGGTGTTTTCGATGAGAAAATTTGCATGCTCATTTCCTAGAAGAAATCTCTACAAGCTTGCTTAAGGCCACCTAGTCCGGTAGTGACTGTCCCCAGGTCTTGTCTGTCCCCTGATGACTAGAGACACAGGTGAATCTACCAAGAATCTACCAGGTTCTGAACCATAAAGAAATACGCTTCCCAGCAGCACCTGGGGGATCATGCTACCCAGTCAGAGGAAAACATGTGAATCTCTCCTCTCTGCCAGAGGTGGGGGGGTGGGGGGTGGCAAGAAATAAATTCTTCAATCTCGGTTGGAATTCATATTGCCTTTTATAAAAATGCACCCTATTCCAGAGAGAAACCTTTCAAGATTTGCTTGTTCATATTTTATTAACACTTATACAGACTTCGTAAATATATTACTGCTATTTGGCCCAGGTGACTGATGAAATATTGACAGCACGTGATTTATGTGCGCAGAATGGCACAGCAGGAAGGCTATTTGGCTGTAATTACTTAGGGTTTTATTACCTGCTCTGCTAAGGGAAAGTGTGAAAAGGTGAAAGCACCAATTGTTCCCAATTACTTGAAGTATTTTCTGTAAATATCTAACCCCTTCCTGCATTTTTATTAGCCAAACTGAAAGGGAAATTATCAGATTATTTAATGAATTTTTTGTTGTTGTACAAATACTGATAGTCGACATGAAAACATTTCCGATTCTGTATATATGACAGAAAAATGTAGTTAAACCCATAATAATGTCACTTCAACAAATCAAAATGGGGATTTTGGTGTAATAATTTCCAGTGACAGGAATAATCAAAATCACGAGGTTTAAGCGTGAGCAACAGAGATGTGAGTGAAGACCACGTCTTGCTGGTTCACACCACCTCCAACCCAGGAGGTGACCCACATTCTCTGTGCTGTCCTGGGGTGGGCGTCTGCCAGGGCTTCACTGCTGCCCATTTAGGCTTGTTGCCTGGACAGCAAAAGCTTCTAGGAGCCCCTGCACCTGCCCACAAAAGCTCTCCAGAGCAGGGACCTCGGCCTGCCTCCTACACTACTCTGCGCCTGCTGTTCTAATGCCTCCACCTCCCGCTCTGGGGCGCAGCGCCTGTCTTTAGCCTGGAGGAGCTCAGCCAGGGACACATCTGTGCTCAGGGCCTGGGCCTCCTGGGATCTTGCTCTGTGTCCAGGGAAGCCTGGTCCTTATCAGACGCCCCACTAAACCACAGAACTCCCCAGATGAAAAGGGCCCCCAGGTGATATGCCACAGGGGTTGCCTAAGACCATCGGAAAACACATATATAATTACATATTGTTTTTGTGATTAATCACTATGCTTTAATTATGTTCAGTTTGTAACAATGAAAATACATCCTGCATATCAGATACTTACATTACGATTCATAACAGTAGCAACATTACAGTTATGAAGCAGCAACGAAAATAATTTTATGGTTGGGGGTCACCACCACATGAGGAACTGTATTAAAGGGTCGCGGCACTAGGAAGGTTGAGAACCACTGTTAGAGCTATATGGGAAACCCCGAGTGGAACTTTGGTTACCAGGGAAGAGAAAAGTCACTTCCTGGGGGAAAAGGTGACATTACCAAGAATATAGTGAAAATGAGAGAATACAAGTAATGACTGACCTAAGAATTCACAGCTGGAGGTGAAACTAATTAAGCCCCTTCCAAACTCCCTGCTGCTCAGGAGTGCTGCTCATTTAGTGTAGCTCCGGGGCCCATGGAAACGGGTGACATTTGGGAGAAAAGTAACCAAAGGCTCTCTCATCAAAGGTGCCAAAAGGAGAATTTAAAGCTAGTGTTCCATTTGACTTTGTTTTCAAAAGCACTTTCTTATAAACAAAAGCCGGACACCTTTTAAAAAAAAGTTATTTACGCACATATGTTCCAGAATGTACTCGTATACAGGATGGGGCAAAAGTAGGTCTACAGTTGTATGGAAAATAATGCAACCATTAATAAATAATACAAGAATAAACTGTTGCATTACTCACAACTGTAAACCTACTGTTGCTCCACCCTGAAGTATATATTTTGTTGTTACTAAAAGAAGATAATATTCGCATAGGCTCATTTACAAAGAGGAAGTAGCTAGTAGGATACGTCTGGGGAGTGGGAATAAGGCTGGGGACTGGGGCGATTTTTACTTCTCATTTTATATATTCCATATTTGAAGAAATGCTCACCTGAAGTGGGTATCATTTTTATAATAATTAAACTTGTGAAAACATTATGCCCTGTACCTGATCTGCATAAGGGGAGAACGCAGAAGTGGGTAGACAATGTGGGAGTGACTACAAAGTGCCCAGTGTGCTGGATGCAGAAAGTCATTAATAAACATGTTTGGTAATAAACACTAGTATCAAGGTTACATCTAATTTGTAATCTCTTATTTACAGATGCATCAAAAAGGCCAGTAACTGCCAAAAATTGGAAGCAAGCAAGATACCCTCCCATAGGAGAATGGATAAACAAAGGATAGAACATCCATACAATATTTATTACTCAGTGGTTAAAAAAAAAGAGAGACCTATCAAGCCATGAAAAGACATGGAGGAACATTAAATGTATAAGTAAAAGAAGCCAATCTGAAAAGACTACATACTGTATGATTCCAACTTTATGACATTCTGGAGAAGGCAAAACTGGTGTCAGTAAAAAGATCAGCACTTGCCAGGGGTAAGGGGAGGAGTGAAGGAGGGAGGGATGAATTCTGGGAGCACAGGGGCTTTTTAGGGCAGTAAGATGCTGTAATGATCCATACATGACATGCATTTGTCAAAACCCACAGACGAGCTGGCTGGTGTGGCTCAGTGGTTGAACATCAATCATGAGCCAAGAGGTCACCAATTGGATTTCTGGTCAGGGCACATGCGGGGGTTTCGGGCTCAATCCCCAGTATGAGGTTGTGTGTGTGTGTGTGTGTGTGTGTGTGTGTGTGTGTGTGGCGTGTTGCAAGAGGCAGCCAATAGATATTTCTCATTGATGTTTCTCTCTATCCCACTCCTTTCCTCTCTCTCTAAAATCAATAATAATAAAAACATATGGGGGGGGATCTGTAGTTCAAGTTTTCCTTCTGTGCCCTCTTTCATACAAAAAAAAAAAAGCCCCACAGTACAGTACAAAGAGCCAACCTTAAGGAAAACTATGGGCTCAGTTAATAATAACGTAGCTGTGCTGATTGGTCAGCTGTAACAAATGCACGGCACCAAAGCAAGATGTTATTAGGGAAACTGTGGGGAGGGGAGAAGGGGCACATGGGAATTCTCTGTACTTTCTACTCAATTTTTCGATAAAACTAAAGCTGCCCTTTAAAAAGGCTATTAACTTTTAATGACTTAATGCTGTTTTAAAATATTTATATGCAATAAGAAAAGGCTAGTATAACATAATACGATTACAAACTAGCATTTCAAATCCAAGCAGGACTGTGGTGCTCCTAGGCCATGTTTTACAAGGTAAGGCGCAAGAAAGGTTCTCTTCGCTATCTGGTTTGCACAGCCTTCCCAGAACCCATCCCAGGCCCTCTCTCTCCCCAAGCTGGCGCGACCCGGTGCGCCCTCGTCCCTCCTGCGCAGCCTGGGCAAGCGCTCCGCTCGCGCGCCCTCCACCGACGGCCTGGATCCCTCTGCTTCCCACTCGGGCGCGGGGCACCGCGGCAGTTCCCGCGTCCTAACGCGTGCATCTTCTACCAGATCGGTGATCACCGTGGACACCCCGCCCCATCCGCGCACGCCACAGTTCCGGCTCCACATGCCTGCCCAGCCCCTCTTATTACCAGCACCCCGTGCGCTACGCTGGGGCACCAAGATGGTAAAGACACTGAGAGAGCTGGTCGGCTATGAGCCCTTCTGTACGCATGGCGACCTTGCCTACTGGATGCAGGAGCCGGTGGCCCTGGGAGCACCCGGAGCCCTCTTGATGGGCTGATTTGCTTTTCACTCTGCCCAGGCCCAGCTCAGGCCCCTAAACCAGCAGTGCAACGGACACACGTACATGCCGCTCAGGACGTTCAGTCTGTCATTCCGTAAGCCTGAGTGGTGGTGCTTACAGCCTAAAAATAAACACCCACTTCCCTTGGGAGTATTGGGATTTATTCTGTTTAAATAGCACAGATTGTTTTCATTCCTTGGTGTCTGAAGTATTGAAATCTGCTTCCCAGTTCTTTGCTTGTATTTGTTTTAGTGATGGAGCCACCCATGCAATAAGGGCTGCTCCTATGGCAACTGTAACAAAACAAGGTCAGGCTTCCACCAGGGTGGGAGAGGAAACCTCCCAAGAAAGCCAGGTGCCAAGCCAGGGGTAGGGATCTGCCTTTGGGGGCCTGGGTGGGGAGGGCTGGTTAGCAGGCCTTGAAGGAAAGCCAGTGTGACAACGATGGCTTCATGATCAATTCTGCATTTTGCTAACTCAGCTGAAATTTTTCAAAAGCATGCCCTACCCTTTGGGTTAAAAGGAAGTATTGAAATTCAGTGTTAATGTTTATTTCAGTTACATGAAGGGAAAGTATTTCACCTTAGTTCATATTCAGATAATTGCATGCATTATCCTTTATATTATTGGTATATATCCGTGGTCGGCAAACTGCAGCTCAGGAGCCACATGCGGCTCTTTGGCCCCACGAAGTTTCAATATGTACATAAATTATTTCTCTCTCTTTCAAATATCCTTGTATATCACTATCTTTGTAACAATCTCATAATTGTCTCATAAATTCATAGGGTTAGAATTGCTATATTGGAATATTTAAACTGATAAAATTATTGGTACATACTAGAGGCCTGATGCACAAAATTTATGCAAGAGTAGGCCTTACTTCCCCTGGCTGCCAGCACCAGCTTCCCTCTGGCACCTGGGACCCGGGACCTGGGCTTCCCTCCCATTCCCAGCTTTGTCTGAAGGTCATCCAGAAGGACATCTGGTCTAATTAGCATATTATGCTTTTATTATTATAGATATTACAACATATCCTATATAATAAAAGGATAATATGCAAATTGACCCTAACAGCAGAATGACTGGCAATGGCTGGTCACTATGACACACACTGACCACCAGGGGCCAGACACTCAATGTAGGAGCTGCCCCCTGGTGATCAGTGCACTCCCACAGGGGGAGCTCTGCTCAGCCACAAGCCAGACTGATGGCTGCCAGCACAGCGGTGGTGGCAGGAGCCTTTCCTGCCTCCTCAGAAGCACTAAGGATGTCCAACTGCAGCTTAGGCCTGCTCCCTGATGGCAAGTGGACATCCATCTGCTGAGGGCTCCGGAGCTGCCAGAGGGATGTCTGACTGCCAGCTTAGGCCGGTCCCTCGGGGAGCGGGTCTAAGCCAGCAGGTGGACATCCCCCAAGGGGTCCCAGACTGCGAGAGGGCATAGGCCGGGCTGTGGGAACCCCTGGGTGCACAAATTTTTGTGCACCAGGCCTCTAGTATCATATATAATATCCTATATATAAAAGCCAATATGCTAAGTGTCCGACTGTTAGTTCAACCATTAGATCAGTCACTATGATGTGCACTGATTACCAGGGGGTGACCGTTAGGTTAGCTTGCTGCTGGGGTCTGCCGATCAGGACTGGGGGAGACTGGCCAGACATTCCCTGGAACCCTCCTGTGGTTTCTTCTCGGCCTGATAGTGCACTGGTGGGGTCCCTTGGCCTGGCCTGCGCCTTCTCCCAATCCAGGACCCTTCAGGGGATGTTGGAGAGCCAGTTTCCACCCAATCCCCACAGGCAAGCCAAGGGACCCCACCGGTGCATGAATCCATGCACCAGGCCTCTAGTAATCTATAATCTATAATCTATAATCTATAATCTATAATATAACATATGTATTCAAAAGTTCAGAAATAACAGAAGTAAAACCAATGATTCACCGAAGTAGTAACTAGTAAAAGTTTATTCTGCACACACCAAAAAGACAGTGCAAACCGGGAGCACTGAGCACTCAAACCAAATCATGGAATGAGACTCAGGGGTATCTACACTAATAAAAGAGAAAAATGGTAATTGGCGTACGACGCTACCCTTTTCATTGGCTAATCAGGGCTATATGCAAATTAACTGCCAACTAAGATTGACAGTTAACTGCCAACAAGATGGCGGTTAATTTGCATATGTAGGCAAAATGCAGGGAGGCGAAAGGGAAAGCAGGAAGAAGCCCCCTACCACTGACAGTGATCAGAAACCCAGGGGGGCGCTAAGAGCCCCCAGGGCCACCTTTGCCCTGCCCCCCAATCATGATCGGAGAATCAGGTGCCTTTTCCGCCCTGGCCAGTGATAGCAGGAAGTAGGGGTGGAGCTAGTGAGGGGGGGTGGGCATGGTCGAAACTGGCAGTCCCAGGAGCTAGGGATCCCTTGCCTGGGCCTAAAGCGAAGCCCACGATTGTGGGGCCGCTGCAGCTGCGGGTCCCCGCTGCCCCGGCCGGATGCCTCAGCCAA